TCCATCTAAGTCTTTGTCCAGGTTTCCGAAACCTGGAAACATCTTAAATATTTCTCCTTCTCAGCATCTCCAGTTCTCTTTTTCTTTCCTTTTTTTTTTTTTTTTTTTTTTTTTGTCACATACAATCTAGGAAGCAATTCTTCCTGGGAAGAGACTGTTCCTAAGAAAATTATGGTAAATCCCTATTACTAAAACACTTCTGAGGGCAGAGACTGTCTTTTTGTTCTGTGCTGTGAGTGACCAGCACAGTAACAGGATCTTTGTTCGTGTTGGATTAGCCCTACTGCAATAAAAATAACAATAAGCCTTTGGATGCTTTGGCAGCGAGTGTTCCCTTTATGCTCTGGTTAATTTTCCAGTTGTACTTACTCATCTGTTTGAGAGTAACCAAGGGAGCTAATGTCCTGCAGTTTTTCAGGTCTTACAGTCAGACCTCTTGTTTGGTATTCTCTGCAGGTGGCAAGCCTGGTAGCCTGATGGTTTTGATCTCCATCTCTGCTGCCTCAGTTTGCACAGAAAAAAAAAGTTTATTCCTTTTGAAAATGGGTAACTTTATAACAGTTCTCAGAGCATCTCAAGAGCAAATCTAATAACACTGAAAGACCTTCTAGAAGCTGTTAGCAAATTAGTAGCAGTCAGAATATATGCCGTGTTTTCAAGGGAATCGGCAAACTGCCTTTTTTCTGCTGAAAGCATTTATCATTTACATGTTGTGATGTAAAATAAAGATGAACTGGGATTGCATTTACCACATTACTTGTAAGAAATAACAGGGACTTCAGGATGCATCATCTAGTTCACTACATTCAGAAAGAGAAAGATATTTTTGTAAAATAGATACAGATTAGATTCGTATCTGATAAGCTTTTTTACTTTAGTGCTATTAACCTGAAAAAATGCATTAAAACATAGGTACTCATTAAATGTCTGTTGAACAGTGTTAGTTCAGCTCAACGCGTCAGGCGATACATGACTTCCAGCCAAACATCTTGTTAAATACTTGCAGGATTTCCCATAGCGGATCTTACTTTAATCAAATAATTCAATCGTTTCATTTGTAAGTACAATAGAAGGGCAGGGCTTGTGTTTACAGAGAATTCCGTATGGAAATCCTGTATTAATTGAAGTACATTCACTTCACTTAGGATGGTGTCCACAACCTAACTCTTTAAATAGAAGCTTTTTTGCTGTTGCCTGTTCCAGAGAGGCAGTGACATACACAGCTGGCTCATCATGTAGAGAAAATCATGAGGAAATGGTGTGAAAGATAACCAGTGCACACAGCAGAAGTACGCCTAACTAAAGAAGGCAACTCTGTGTATTGTTTTCTGTAGTGGATATAAAATAATTTATGAAAAGTAATTTGATCCCCATGGACACTGTCTGGTGAAGATGCTCTGTCTTGATCAATCTTCTTTGGGCTGCTCCTAAAGTAATGCCTTCTGTTTTACTACATTGGCCCATGACATCCAAGGTGGATGTTGGTGCTATGAAGTAGAGGTTGAACCTTCCCAATGTTCTGTAACATGTTGTTGCCATGTGACAGAGGACAGCAGACACAGAGGAGTGGTGTGTGACGTAGAAGTGTGTATGAAGTAAAGGTATGGAATTGAATTCCTCTCTGCAGGAAAAATTGCACCCATTGATCTTCATCGATGCTTAGCTAATGATTATGGAGTCCTAACAGTGGATATGAGCACAGTGGGTGGTGCAGCAGCAATGACAGTGACATGAAAGACAAGCCATGGACAGCCATGCAGATTTATACAAACGCAGCATGCAGCTCTCGTTCATTGCTAGCAAAAGTGCATAGCTGATGGTGGTGACTGTGTTGAATAATAGTATTTCATAGCTGAAAATTTTCATTTCAAATTCAGCCTTGAGAAAAGGAGACTGAGAGGGGACCTGATCCAGGTCTATAAATATCTAAGGTGTGGGGGGGCAGAATGGCGAGGCCAGACTCTTTTCAGTGGTGAGTGGAGACAGGACAAGGGGAAATGGCCAGAAACTGGAGCATAGGAAGTTCCGCACAAACATGCGCAAGAACTTCTTTACAGTGAGGTGACGGAGCACTGGAACAGGCTGCCCAGGGAGGTGGTGGAGTCTCCTTCTCTGGAGACGTTCAAGACCTGCCTGGATGCCTACCTGTGCTACCTGCTGTAGGGAACCTGCTTTGGCAGGGGGGTTGGACTCGATGATCTCAGGAGGTCCCTTCCAACCCCTACAATTCTGTGATTCTGTGATTCTGTGAAAATTTGCTCTATCAGATAGTTATTTTGCTCTTTGTTGTGATTTCCTTGGAAATAAATAGGAAGCATTACTTTTGGAGTGTCCTACATATTTTCAAAATTATTAGTGCAGGCAGTGCCAGATGCTTTTTTGTAATATTGCAGATTCATTTCTGTTATGCTGTAAATTATTGTCTTTTTAAGGCAACAGTTGTTTTCTGCAAGTAAACACAATGCGCTTCCAACCAGCCCCATGTAGGATATGGAGGTTTGTTAGCAGTAGACCATTTAGAGTTCCACATAATGGCTTTATAAAAGGTTAAGGTATTATTAATCACTGATAGTATTATGGCTCAATAATAGAAGACTAGAATTGCACTCCTTAGAGTTCCTAATTGTGCTGTGTCAGAAAATGCCAGCATTAAAATAAGCCCAACGCAGAAGAATTAAACAGAGAATCAGCATTTCCTTCTACAGTGAGTTGGAAGTTTCATGTTGCTTCTATATTGTATACAGTGAAATCTTTTTTCCTTTTTTTTAGCAAATTATAGTTCTGCTGTGGTTGAAAGGATAGTTTTGCCAGTGTATTAAATACCAGGCAAAAGAGGTGTTTTAGAACATTTTTAGGTAAATGTAGGTCAACACAAAGAAATCATACAGTTGGAAATATTTTCCAGTGTTTATGTTCAGATGTTCAGACCTGTCTGGCTCCTCTCTATTTGCGTGTGTTGGGGTTACAGGCAGTCCGACTACATTCCACATTGATTTATATAAATATATTACAGATTATTAACCTCCAGCCAAATAACACCAAATTTAACTTTTCAGGAAGGTTTGTGACTTTCCACAAAACTGATTCACTGTGTATGGGCATCTCCATATATACTGCATTAAGAGAATCACAAAGAGAATACTATATATCTGTATGAGAAATGTGCTGTTAACGGTAATTACGCTCCCATAATCACTCAATAAATATTCATTCATGTGATGATTACAGATTAAGCACAGATTACATTTTCTTGACAGAGGTAGGGCGATGGTTTTCCATATTCTGTAACTCCAGTTCCCAAATAATTACTCACTGAAAGGCTCTTTCAGGCTAAAAGGAATGTACATGCATCCGTTTTCAAAGCATAATGTCTAATAAACAATTTTCAAGTGTCTGACCAAAGATTATTTAGGAAATGCTATTAAAATGGGACCAGAGCCATAACATGTTAAATCTATACTGTCTCAAATGAGGCATAATGCTCTTTTAAACTGGTTGCAGTCTTCACAGATAGTGTTGCCAATTCTTATCTTCCCTTCCTTTGTGAAATATTTTCTTATTTAAGATAAGAAGTAAAAACTCTGTACAAGGTACTTGCCTCTTCTGCTCTCAGGTGACGCATTTTAAAAGTCACCCCCAGGACTTTGTGTGTCATCTGCTGTCTACAGATCCTGCATATGAAGTACTCAGTCCTAGGAAAAAGACGAAAATATTACTTGAAAAAATTATCAGAAATCCTACACTTTCCACAAAGTAAACAAGCAGTTATTCTGTGTAAGAGGATAAAAGACGTGTAATAAGGAATATGACTTCAGTGTCATATTCAGTGACACTGACCAAAATAATTAGTACTGCTTTTGATTTGTTATCAACGATAGGTTTTTCAGTTTAACAGTGTGGATATCTTTCTTAATAATGGTATTAATTGTATTCTTAGCTCTACTGTCATGTAATAAAAGTAGCAGTTGATTTTCTGCCTTACTTCAGAGAGAGGCAAACTGGTCTGTACAATTTGTCAACTACGTGAATACACACATTAGTAAAGTATGTGAGCAGGGAACAGCTTTCTTCCATCTGTAGGATGATTTCCTGTTAGGACTTTTTTTTAGAAGTGAGACTTGAGGGAGGATGGTGAATGTGATGGTCAGTGGTACAACAATAGGTGTGAAGTACTGAAGGATGGGAGGGATACTGTGTAGAAGATAAAAAACTGGCACAGTAGATGAAGTGAAGAAGGTGAGAAAAATCCTAATTAAAAAAAGAAGACAATAGAAAATAGAGTAATGAGGTAGGAATGCAAAATTATGAACAGCTTTGAAAATAAGTTTGAATTTGATGTTGTGCAACGTGGTAAAATGATAAAGAAATTCCAGTAAAAGAGTGGCAGAAAGTGATGAAAGAAAGCTTTTTCAGCAGTGGCATCTTGTGCCTTAGGCTTTTTTCCTAGCTGTATCCTGACTGAATGTATTCCTTGCTTCTGGAAATTTGCAGGAGTAATCAGCAAAAATATTTAATTTCTACCAAAGAAAATTTAATTCTAAAGGCACATGATGGTGAACATGAGAGTTACGCGGGAAGAAACTGAAGGTGTGTGCAGGCAACCTGTATCTTTTTTCCCTCAGAAATGTTACTTACATTGGTTTTTTTTGAGAAGTGCAGTTGATGAAGCATAGACCGTGGATAAATGTCAGATCAAGTTCTGTATTAACTTCGGTTGCTCTATCAAGAAAATACTTTCTTTTAATATAATTATTTTACTTTGATAAGCCGATGAATTCTTACTTAATCCCCTATTATAATTCCTACATGAAAGAGGTCATATTATCAATGTATCCGTAGTTATCTGATGGATCAAGAGATTGAAGTTTGCACTACCTTTGGAATGCTCTTTTTTTTAGTTCTCTGTGCCGTAGGAAATTGAAATAGACACGTGTGAGCTGCAAGGTGTGTCTGTGCTGGCTCCTGTATACTTACCTCCTCTTTTCTTTCCCTCATCTCAGATTGTTTGATGTGTGCACCGTGTCACGAACAGATAGAGAGACCAAGTTAACGTTGGTGTTTGAACATGTGGATCAAGACTTGACTACTTACTTGGATAAAGTTCCAGAGCCTGGAGTGCCTACTGAAACTATAAAGGTATTTAAGAAGAAAAATGTTGGGTACTCTTTCAGAAATTGTTGGATAAAGAAAACACAGATAAATCACAAAGACCTTACTCAAGCAAACTGCATTTTGACCACATTTAGTCATATCAAAATTGAGTAAAGCCCAGCTTGGGGCACAAGCTGCGGAACAACAATCCATATTCACTAACTAATGTATTTTCTTGGTGGAAATTTTGTAGTCTTGAGTTCCTGTGACTATTTCTTGTTTTAGTGCAGGCCTACCAAATTTGTTCCAAACCATTGAGAATGACCTTTGCTCACAGCTGTAGGCAGATCATTTAGTCCAAGAGTGCTCGAATCTTCCTTAGGTAGAGCACTGACAATTGTTGGCATGTATAATGTAAGTCCTGTGCAGCTACACTTTTTCATTACTTCTAGTTTCCCCAGGAAACTCCTTTCATTTCATGTCACGTCCTTCTGACATATGTAGACACCATACAGACACCTTTTGACATATGTAGTTGTATATACCTGTCTGCATCTAACAAGAGCAGTTGATGTTCACCATGGATCTGTGGGACCTGAATTGAGCAGTGAACAGAGGCTCAAGGAAGAGGGTAATACAACCAGGTGTTGTAGAGACTGGAAGGGCTCTCAGTAACTAGGAGGATGGCATTAAGTTTTCCCATCACATCATCTCATATTCTGCATCTGCAAGGGAAGACCTCTTCCCAAGATACAATGTGCTTGGTACTAAAGCATGTATTCCAATTCTCCTCCTGGGAATTCCATTGTCAAGTGCTACATCAAGGATCATAGCTTGAAATATATGACAGAATTTTTAAGCCTGGGAAAAAAAAGCAGAAGGGCTAATGTTCCTATATTTTGACTAAATATCTAACATTACTTTTTCATTTTTTTTGTGTGATGAAAAATAATGCGTGCTTTCAGAGAATGATTGCCTTGCATTTGTATAAGTACTTTCTGGAGGTATGTTGTGTCTTCTTAGTCTGGCAAAGGAGAGAGGGAGGAAAACAGAAAAAAACGTAAGAACTATTTGAAATGTAGTAGTAGTAGTATTTTTTGTTAACAGATTCAAACTCAGAGGTCTTTGAGTACAAAATAACATTACACAGATAAAGATCTTTTTGCTTGTATCAAAGTCACAAACATTTAGCACCACCCAGTTCCAAAAACAGTATTTTTAAGCAACCCTAGTGGATAAAATAAAACTTAAAATGAGCACAGCCTTGATTCAGTCCCTGCGGAAGACTGAAATGTACCTCTAGCAATTAAAGGGCTCTTTTATGTTAATGTTTTAAGGGTTCCGTGGTCTTCTAAAGCTTTGATGGTACATAAGGGTTCTGTATATCAATGTATCTAACATTGTAATAACATAAAAGGTAGCAGGCATACTGTCTCACTGAATAATTGAAATACATGGGAACTGAACCACCAAATCCCTGAAATCTGTTTGAAACATCTTTTGGGCTATCTTTCATGTAAAGCAATTGGAAGAGGTGAGCACTGCACTGAAAGGCTTCCAATTTTCTAAAACCCCGTTCTAAATTTCTACAAGTATATTGCAATATGAATGCACGAATATACATTTCATGGTTGTCTTTTACTTGTGAAGAAAATCATTGGTCATACTTTTAAAAAGCGCTATTCTGCTTACACAGTTTATAAGTTCAACTCGGATGATATGTCTGATAATTGGCACAATAAAAGAGAAAAATTTAGCCATGCAGAAACAAAGAGGGAGAATAATGTTGCTTTATGGACAGGGCGAGTCCCACCAGAAGAAGTTAGTGAAGGTAAAATTCATCTTGTGATACATCTACCTCTTTTCAAATGGCAGAAGAAAAGTGTAAGAGGCTGTGTCATAGAATCGTAGAATGACTTGAGTTTACTTGGTCTTTGTTGATTTTAACATTTGCACAGTAGCTGTTGTGTCCTTGAATTCTGCTTAGCGCTGAAAAAAAAGTAGTAAATAGAACCAGTTAAATTAAATTGGACCTTATTGCTTCACTGTTCATGTATCTTAAAAACATCCAGTTTGTGAAGGTATGTTTGCTGGTAGGTCGTGATCATTGATGGCGTGAGGAAGGTTCTGAGGGCTTATTCCTAGCATATTTCAATATCTTTCTAAAGATTATGTCTGTATGGATGTTCCTGGTGGACGCTGTGGCAAAGCATACTTCTCTTGTGGAAGGGAAATACTGCCGTTTTGCAGCAACTAAGCATTTGACTCAGAAAACATACATCATTAGATTATAATCTGATTTTTTATAGTTTGGCTTTTGAGGTTAATATGGATTCATACTTCATTTATTTTCCAGAATTGCAGACAATTTGTGTAGACTATTTCCCCTCATTACTAGCACAGCACAAAACAACTGCCAGCATTGTAAGGCCATCTGTTAAAGTTCTGTGTCAGCAGCACAGAGGTACCAAACAAGTTCAGTAAGCTCTGCACAGCTCAGGTAGAAAGTTCTAATGTACTTTTTCGGCACCATGGTGTAAGCTCAACAGTTGCTGGTGGAAAGTGAATGATATAAAATTCCAGTGAGGGTATTATCCTCAAAGATCCTTTCTGTGTGAGCTAAATACCGTCATTATACACCATCTGAGGGAGAGGGACTCAGCTTTTGCAGGTTTGGAGTGTGCTAGGGTTTTAAGTTGCTCTTGAGGATGATAAGTGACAGCAGTACCATTTTGGGAATTCCCTTTATGTTTAGCAGATAGCAAACAGTAGCAGTACAGAGAAGACAACTGTGTAGATAATTTAAGTACGTCTAAATATTTTGTCTTTATGCTGCTCAGCGATGTTTTTCTAGTATCTGAAGTCCTTCAGCAGGAGCCACCCCAGAAGGTATTTTAGGAACATGTCCATTGGTGCCCATAACATGATGGAAGAGGAGCAGTTTCCTTTTGAGACATTGCCTGCTAGTGGGAATATGTACAGAGGATGTAAGGCAAACATGCTCAGTTCCCCTCCCTGTCTCTAGAAGCATGAATGCCTATTTCTGTGGCTGTAGTTCAGACCACTGAGTTATAGGTTTTTCTGAAAAGAGGTATTTTAAATCTTTTCTATTGAAGTGCTTCCATTTTTTTATAAGGGAGTTTTCATTGGGCTAGAGAGATAGACAGCATGACTCCAAGTGCTCGTGAACATGGCACTCACCTCTGAAAGAGAACTGTGAGCCATTAATGTCTTTAAATCCTGGATTATAATCCTGCTTGCTCTTGCTTTCTTCCTGTGTCACACCTGATTAGTATTTGTTCCATATGGGAAGAATCAGAAGCAGCAATGACAACATTTTCCTTTTCTCCTCTCTACTCACCTTTTCCTCCCCTCTTTCCTTCCTGGGAAACTTTAGGGTAGTTTCTTTGTAAACTGAAGGTATGAGATCAGTTTCCTTAGGACACAGCTGTTAGTCATGCATATGCCTTCAGTAATGTTAAAACATTAATGCCATTAGCAATTCAGAGAGACTTGGCTCATCAGAGAAGGGAACAGATCAAAGATCTCTCGTATAGCAGGGGCGTATGTTATTTCTTGTGGGATGCAAGAATTGCTGAGGATGACCTTCTGCTCTGGTCTGCTGACTAAGAACCATCATGGCGTTCCTGATAGCCTGGAACAGGGCAGTCAAACCATGAACAGGGTTTAAGGTATGTCTTTTTCTCTGATGTTACTGATTCCTCACTCAAGGGAATGACTTTTCTGAATATTGTTTTCCTGTTTTTCCTTTGCATAGGAATCCTAGATCTCTATCTCATTCAGACATACAAATTTTGCTACTTAGATGCCTAGCATTTAGACAGTACAGCAGTGAACCCAGTTTCCATTTCTGGATTTATCTGATAGTAGCCCATGAATTGTATTTTAAAAATTATCCCAGTCAGGATAATAAAAGAAAAAAATGTTGCTGTTGCATCCCTGTGCACTCCGTGCAACTTGCACTGCCTGCTAGCAAACCAGGTGGGCTGGTCACATCTTTGCAGGCTCTTGCAAAATTAATATGTAGATGTTACTTCTCAGAAAGCAAACCAGTGTTCACTGCTGCGAGGTGAGTCATCATCAGCCATCTGCCACAATTGTACCTTCTCAGTCGACCACGTATGAGATGTGGAGCAGATGTCACACAATCATGCAATTCTGCAAACAGCACAAGATATTCCAGGAAAACACATTCACCCGTACTGACAGAGTGGGGCCCTGTTTAGCAACATCTCGGTTAGAAGTTACTCCTTGACGTATAAGCACACTAAAAAAGAATCCACAAAAATTAAAAAGAAAGATACTAAAGGAAGACCTGTTTATAATTTTTTCCCAACAGTAAGAAAAAAGCAAGGCTTAGTGAACCCACAGAAAATTGGTCTGATCCCCAGCTGATACAGAGAGGTGTAAATCTGTTACCCTCAGTGAAATGATGGCAGTTTACAGCTACTAAGGATCTTTGTGCAGCATTTTCCAAGACATTTTGTTCTGAAGCCAAATGATAATTTAGAGTTGTCACTGTAAATAAAAGAGGAACAAAATGGCTGAGCTGTTTAGTTATCGTGGGTTACATCTTGTAATTTCTTTTCTATCGTCTTACTATCGGGTTGGACAGCTGCATGGAAGGGCAGTGGGAAAGAGTACAGGTGCCCTGCACAAGAGGCAGCTCAGAAGGAAGTGTGTCTTAATGGAGGATGTTCTCTGAATGTTGTGGTTCCCTCTGTTGCAGGTGTTGTCATTTCTTTCCCGTGTTGCTGCTCCATGTAAAGACACAGCCACATCTCCCCTGATGTGGTGGTGAACGTAGTAATGCATGGTCTGACCAAGGAGCTGGAGGAGTCCTGATTTAAATGAGGACACTCCTCAGCGTGTAGTGTTTTGAAATTTAATGTTGTATCTGTACAGTTACTTCTTTAACCTGGATCGTATTACTATCAGTGTACAGCCACACATTTTATTTATAGTGGACTTTTATCTCCAAATCCCTGCTATTTCCAGATGCAAATTCAAACATTTTCATACTG